TCTTGAAGAACTTGAAAGCTTTCTAGAGTGAAGTAGTTACAGAAACTTGATTCTCAAAGAACTTGAAAGCATTCTAGAGTGGAGTAGTCCCAGAAACTTGATTCTTGAACAACTCGAAAGGATTCTAGAGTGGAGTAGTCCCAGAAACTTGATTCTTGTACAATTCTAAAGGGTTCTAAAGTGAAGTAGTTCCAGAAACTTGATTCTCAAAGAACTCGAAAGGATTCTAAAGTGAAGTAATCCCAGAAACTTGTTTCTTGAACAACTCGAAAGGATTCTAGAGTGAAGTAGTCCCAGAAACTTGATTCTTGAACAACTCGAAAGGGTCCTAGAGTAGAGTAGTCCCAGAAACTTGATTGTCAAACAACTCGAAAGGGTCCTAGAATAGAGTAGTCCCAGAAACTTGATTGTCAAACAACTCTAAAGGGTTCTAGAGTAGTTTTAGAGTGGCCATTGCTTAAAAATACAATGAAAACTTGTAGAAGTTGAAGGTTACAAAGTCAAATCTTAATTAGGTAATTTGTGAAGAGTGTATGGGTGGTTGGTAAAGTGTTAAAAGGAACCCTGTAGCCGTCGCGCGTGAGATCTGTAAAAATTGTACACGGTGTCCATGAAGAGCGAAGCTAGCGTGACGCATGTGTGTCTGGGCGAATGTATGGGCGTATGGAAGCACTAAGTAGTTGAACTTTTACACATCGTTATATCTTTATGCGTATTACACCGTTTCTTTGTTTTTTTGTTTGTCTTCTTCCTTTGTTTTCAATGATCAACGTTCCTTTTCGCTCCTTCGGCCACACTCGTCTACGCTGAAACGGCTTCTCCTCCACTCCTCTGTGAATCCACCGTTCCATCGAGACACATCCATTGCCCCCATCATTACCCAAGCAGCAATAGAACGAATGTAAAGTCGGGAGTGTCCGCCCTGTCTTCCACCAGTACTGCGTTTGGAACAGCAGCCAGTAATAACCGCCTCGACCATCCCGAAAACGGACACATCGACGAAGTGATGCGGCAACGGGCCCTCGCGGAAGAGGAGGCCGCCATGAACCAGTACAAGGTACCCCGCATCTTCCTGGATCAACGTTACCGAGTTAACGCGTTAAACTCCACGCATATTCTGTACCAAGCGTTACCAAATTAACGCGTTAAACTACACGTATATTCTTGTACCAAGCGTTACCGAATTAACGCGTTAAACTCCACGCATATTCTTGTACCAAGTGTTAAGGAGTTAACGCGTTAAACTCCACGCATATTCTGTACCAAGCGTTACTAAGTTGACGCGTTAAACTCCACGCATATTCTGTACCAAGCGTTAGGGAGTTGACGCGTTAGACTCCACACATATTGTACCAAGCGTTAGGGAGTTGACGCGTTAAACTCCACGCACATTCTTGTACCAAGCGTTACCAAATTAACGCGTGAAACTCCACGCATATTCTGTACCAAGTGTTAAGGAGTTAACGCGTTAAACTCCACGCATATTCTGTACCAAGCGTTAGAGAGTTGACGCGTTAAACTCCATGTATATTCTGTACCAAGCGTTAAAGAGTTGACGCGTTAAACTCCACGCATATTCTGTACCAAGCGTTACTAAGTTAACGCGTTAAACTCTACGCATATTCTGTACCAAGTGTTAGGGAGTTGACGCGTTAGACTCCACACATCTTGTACCAAGCGTT